TGGTCAGTTAGTTAGATAGTCAGTTAGTTAGTTAGTTAGTCAGTTAATTAGTTGGTTAGTTAGTTAGTTAGTTATTTAGTTAGATAGTCAGTTAGTTAGTTAGTTAGTCAGTTAGTTAGTTGGTTAGTTAGTAAGTTAGTTAGTCAGTTAGTTAGTTAGTCAGTTAGTTAGTAAGTTGGTTAGTTAGTTAGTAAGTTAGTTAGTTAGTCAGTTAGTTAGTTGGTTAGTTAGTAAGTTAGTCAGTTAGTTAGTTGGTTAGTTAGTTAGTTAGTTAGTAATTTAGTTAGTTAGTTAGTTAGTTAGTCAGTTAGTTATTTGGTTAGATAGTTAGTTAGTTTGTTAGTTAGTTAGTTGGTTAGTTAGTTAGTTAGTCAGTTAGTTAGTTGGTTAGTTAGTAAGTTAGTTAGTCAGTTAGTTAGTTGGTCAGTTAGTTAGATAGTCAGTTAGTTAGTTAGTTAGTCAGTTAATTAGTTGGTTAGTTAGTTAGTTAGTTATTTAGTTAGATAGTCAGTTAGTTAGTTAGTTAGTCAGTTAGTTATTTGGTTAGTTAGTTAGTTAGTTAGTCAGTTAGTTAGATAGTCAGTTAGTTAGTTAGTTAGTCAGTTAGTTAGATAGTCATTTAGTTAATTAGTTAGTCAGTTAGTTAGTTGGTTAGTTAGTTAGTTAGTTAGTTAGTTAGTTAGTTAGTCAGTTAGTTAGTTAGTTAGTCAGTTAGTTAGATGGTTAGTTAGCTAGTTGGTTAGTTAGTTAGTTAGTCAGTTAGTTAGATAGTCAGTTAGTTGGTTAGTTAGTAAGTTAGTTAGTTAGTTAATTAGTTAGTTAGTCAGTTATTTAGTTAGTTGGTTAGTCAGTTAGTTAGTTAGTTGGTTAGTTAGTAAGTTAGTGAGTTAATTAGTTAGTCAGTTAGTTAGTTAGTTAGTTAGTCAGTTAGTAAGTTAGTTGGTTAGTTAGTTAGTCAGTTAGTTAGTTAGTCATTTAGTTAGATAGTCAGTTAGTTAGTTAGTTAGTCAGTTAGTTAGTTAGTTAGTCAGTTAGTTAGTTAGTTGGTTAGTTAGTAAGTTAGTTAGTCAGTTAGTTAGTTAGTTAGATAGTCAGTTAGTTAGTTAGTTAGTCAGTTAGTTAGTTAGTTAGTCAGTTGAATAGTCAGTCAGTTAGTTAGTTAGTCAGTTAGTTAGTTAGTCAGTTAGTTCGTTAGTTAGTTAGTTAGTCAGTTAGTTAGTTAGTTAGTTAGACAGTTAGTCAGTTAGTTAGTTAGTCAGTTAGTTAGTTAATCAGTTTGTTCGTTAGTCAGTTAGTTAGTTAGTTCGTTAGTCAGTTAGTTACTTAGTTAGTTTCTTAGTTATTTAGTTAATTAGTTAGTCAGTTAGTTAGTTAGTTAGTTGGTTAGTTAGTTTTTTGTTTAGTTATTTAGTTGGTTAGTTAGTTAGTTAGTTGTTTAGTTAGTTAGTTAGTTAGTGAACTTGGGAGATTTTTTCAGTAAAGCATTTTGAAACCATATTTTTATACATAAATCTAATAACAACCATAAAGCTTTCTGCAACTAAGTTTGAAGATCGCCTACTGGAAATGGCCAGCAATATAACTAAGGGATGATGTCTGCTGAAATGAAATTGGAAAATCTGAAGGAAATAAAAACACTCTTAGTTGAAGCAGATTGAATGAATTAATTTTTTTTAGCGTTTTATTATTTCTTCTTATTTTGTGTTTTATTTCCTTATTTATTTTTTTTAACTTCAGTCATGACCTAATTACAACCCGCCTAGAGATAAAAACAGATGTTCTATACTGATGAAGGAAAGCCAATCTGAACATGAAATTGTCCTCATTTGAAGCACAGATTTCTGGTTTTCTTTTATTGTGAAATGATCGTAGTCTGAAAAAGTACAACTTTTAAGAATGAGTTAAATCCAGAATTAGAATTTTTTAAGTCATAAAACTTAAACTTATTTTGTGTGAAACATATATATATATATACACATATAGGGGTGAGTATCTCCGCCTGTCACATGGAAGGCCCGGGTTTGATTCTCGATCGAGGAGCTGACTTGCTCTTCAGTGGCACAGCCATAAGGACGCTAACCAACTATGCACATGGTCCAGGTTCCGATCACGGTACACACATGATATCAATGATCGGCCCGCTAAATTTGGGCTACCAATATCATATTCCATACTTGTACTAAAAATACTATATGAAATCAAGCTAGAATAAGATTAAAATAAAATGAAAATATATACATATATCATAGAGATTATTGGTGGATCAGGTGGATGATTTTGAAGCTGCTGCATTCTTTGAGCTAGCCTACTTATTTGTGAGGTTTTCATTGTCTCTCTAGACAGTGTCGCTTCACTGCAAACTCCAATATGAAGTGGACTTATCTGAATTACCTATGAGTGATATAAGTGTATCTCTTAACAAGTTTTATCATGATTAGTTGTAAATTTCCACCCTTATTAATTGTTTTTTCTATAAATATTAGAAAAGTTGAAAGACTCAAAACAGTATCCTATCGAGACCGACAATGAATGAATAATGTCACAGTAGTTTGAAGTCAACTAAATGATGGGTCAGACCATTTTACTACATCCCTCCAAGTGAATCCATGTTACTGCTCCGTCTTATTTAGAAACAACATTTCTCGAACATCTTACTTTCAAAACTGGTCTAATTTTTAAGTATAAGTACAGAATGTTTGAAATATTTCTATTATAAACTATAAACAGTAACTCCAGTGCACAGCGTAAAAGCTTCCAATTTCCCAATTTTTACTGCATACTATCATAAGTATACTATTTTCAAGCTTTTCAGCCTTGTATCCACATAAGGTAACGCCAGACAACCTCTTCAATCCAAATACTGAACATGAACAGTTCGCTAAACAGATTAATAATCAGTAAAAACTAAATTCTAGTGCATCAGTATTTCAATGCTAGAATACTCAGCAAGCGGTTGGGCTTTAATTCGTGATCGATGCACTACTGACAGACTAAGTGACTGATTTCAACGTGGAACTTTGCACAAATGTGCAGCAGTTAGATTGGATATACTCCATGTAGCACACAAAGAAAGAGAAGAAATTAAAAAGAAATGCAAAATAAAAATAGTAAACAGAGATATTAAGCAAAAAGAATAGTAAGGTCGAAGAACAATATAGTTTTATTGGGTATAATAAAGCACAAAGTGTGAATGCATCTGCACCAGCCAGCCATTGAGAACGGTTTGGAGCAATATCACAGATTGTCTCCATCCAGCCATTGGTATTTACCATCCCGACGACCCCAACCATGAAGCCTACATCTCCCTACGTGGCTGACTTAAACTAACTGTTGTGGATTTTATTGACTGATGAAGCCATGTTTTGGTTGAACCACCACTGGTTGTTTTCCAGCCTGATCCAATGTCAGCTAAGATTGCTCGTCGAGGAAGGCGATGGTTAGAAAGACATGTGTAAGACATGTACTAACCATCTCATTCGATGTAACTCTACAACCTCGTATAAATATTTTCCCTCCTTACATATACACCGATATACTACTAAACTTTGACTAGTTTACCGGCGAGTAGCAAGATTGTAAAATAAGGAGAGTTGAGTGTGAATTCGGGGACAACAACCTATAAAACCAAGACTACTGTCAACTGAACATTAAGGCTCGAGCTTAAAGCGCTAAGTTCTGCTTAGGACACGAATGGAGCGACATTAATTCGCTAAATACTAGGCAACGTTTTTCAACATATTTTCGTTACTTCTGTGCACAATTGTACGTACTATGAATGCGTGTATTACACTTTGCTACATTTTTAATTGTAAAGATGTCTATCTTGTATGTGCACAGGCTGCAAAAGTTTTCGATAGCTGCGTCTGCACTACAATGAAAATCAGATTGCTAGTCAGAAACGATGAACTAAGAAGAACTCTTTGGAAAAACCAACCAGCTATCTATTGATCAACAAATACTCATAAAGGAAACGGTGGTTGATTTCAAATATTCTGAGAAGGCAACTGAGTAGCTTCACGAGCGAGACAAGCCATTGAAGTGATCTCATATTTTGGAAACTATGAGTTGCGCGTTGTTAACTAATCACAGTTGGTAGGCAGGAAACATGACTTTCACTGTCACACACTACAAATGTGTGTCATCGACATACTGACAATAAGAAGTTTCGTTGATTGCATACTTTAGCTTTGTTTTCTCAAGGTTATAGATGAATATATCTGCTAAGACAGGGCTAAGTGAACTTCCCATAGCTACACCATCTATTTTTCGGCAAAAACTGTTGTCAAACTGGAATTGTATATCCGTGGTACACATTAGTAATAGGTATTCCAACTCTGGGAGTGAGAGAAGATCGGATTACTCAAAAACGATCTCGATAGTTTCATTGATTGGGATCTTTGTGAACAAATGACGCCATGAACGTATTTGAAACGTTTGTGTGGTTCACACTTTCAGCGAAATGAAATGAATCTGTTTTAGTTCACATAGCTAGCCGTTGAAGAATGGGTTCCAACGTCTCTGCAAGCCAACGAGCAACATTATGCTGAGGCGAGTTGTTCATCGGAAGCATAGGTCTCAGGGGTATTTGATTTTGTGTGCCTCTGGAAGGCCATACATGTGCGGTAAACGAAACTCTCGGCGTTTTAAATCATGTGGGTATTGTCGTCAATCAATTTCTTCTTTAGAGGATCTCTCAGTAATTTTGTGATGCGTTTTTAAGTCGAATGTGTCTTATCTTGTTAATCACTATGTCAACCCATGGCTATCCCAAGCAGTATAATTACCAATTACTATTTTTTCAGCATACTTAATCCCTTAGGCATCAATATAAGGATAACATTAAAAAACCCTTCTTCAACTTTTCAATCCGTACCAATTATGTCCAGGATACTGAAAATGACTGCTGAACAAATGCCATATTGACTAAATTAAGAAAGAACATATAACTAAAATTCCTAGTGAACATTGGACTATACTTTGAGAAAATAACATTTACTCACCACAAACACAACAATGATTTTTGTTTAATTCTTCAGAATTTTGTTTTTCTTGACGAAGTGCTGCAAATGTGTCGACAATAACACCGAATATCAAGTTGAGTATAATAACAATCACGATAACAAAGAAGGATAAATCGTAGATTGTACGAAAAATGAATGAACTGTCCTAAAATACAAAAGGAAGTAATATAAATAAATTATGATAGCAAAAGTTGAAATCTAGTGACAAAAACCACAGTCATTCAATTTGAGAAATACAAAATTTGGATGCCTGTATAGTTTCATCAAAGAACGTCTGAACTCAAATCAAATTATCAGCAAAGAAGCATCTTTAGAAGCCACAAGAAAATTCATCCTACAACACATCTAAAGAATGTTTTTGAAATAAAAGTTGAAATAAATATAAAACAGTCACTTCGTTCAATACAATGCACACCAAAAGCCTCATCTTAAAACCATAAAAGAAAAGATCAACACCATGTATAAATTAAATTGCATGAACTAAGACAAACATTATACTGTTCAAAGTGGACATATCCTTCAACTCTGAATTCGGAAACAATCAGGTGGTCCAAAGTTTGATCTCTGGTCAACGCACTTGCAAACCTCACCTAACTGGTAATAAGTCAGGCAAAGAGGGAAGGTTAGGCGTGAGACTAGCAATCACACCTCGTAAAAATAAAACAGCTGCTACCGAAACTTCAAAGCTTCAGCTTCAAGTTTAATTGAATTTTAGATTTTCCCGTCGATTGATTGGACCGAAGTGCTCGGTATCAGGTTGACATTTCTGCTTCTTGTGCAGATGCTTCGACGATGTCTGGGCATTTAATTAGAATATAACTGGTGGATGGTGACTAGCAGTGGAATTCAGGACACGCATTTCGTCCTATTTGGGAGTCGTCAGCTAAGTGGATGTACTTGCATTTCCCAGTGAGTGATGATGTTCCCACCAAGGCTCGAACCCAATGTGCATAGTTTCAAACGCCAAAGCGTTATCCACTAGATCACTTGGGCCACGAGAGCCACAGGGAAGTTGCAAGCGTTGTGATTTCAGCCATTCAGGCCACCTCCGCAAGACCTCCTGCAAGACTGTAATAGATACACTGACTAATCAGTGAAGACTGACCGCTGTTCTTTTAAAAAACAGTGCTTCCCACAAATTGTCTGCAGTCATCTAAGATCACATCAAAGTTCCCTACAATGGTGAGTCTCCTACACCGGTGATCACGTTGTAAAGTTAAATGATATAACTCATTTAACAGCATTAAAGATAAATCTGTATAGTAATAGTTATTCTTCTACTTCTTTTATTTATTAATTTTGATTACAGCTTGATTCCACACCGTATTTCCGGTAGAAGTAGGAAATTTTCAGTATGTGATATCGGTAGCCCAAATTTTGCAGACCGACCATTGATATCAGGTGTGCGTTGACCGGAGATTGAACCCCGAACCATGAGCATGGTCGGCGAGAGTCCTAACCACTGTGCCACTGATTGTCAATGTACTTCTTATTATATAAAGAATTAGTAGAAGTTCGAATTCATGGTCTGGTGACTGAATTGAGGCCCAGTGTCTGAGTGCTTTACGAACTTGCTTTGTTACCGGAAGTTCCTGAGTTGGAAACCTGTCGATGGGTACCTACTGTCGATAATTCTCAAACTAGGGTGAAACAGCTGTTCAGTACTCCAGTGCTGATTTTCAATGGTTCTCTAGCTGACATCAATCCGTAGTCAAACTCACAGTTGATAATGGATCCATTTTATCCCCCACCATATGTTACTGCCCCTTTGTTTAGATGCCTAATTCGAATTTCTTAAGAAACAGTTCGTTGGAATTTTAACGAAAGATCACTACATCTTCGAAGGTGGGATCCTATTTTTACTTTTCAAAACTGTGTATATACATGGAAATGTTAAAAGCCTTTGGCCGCCCGCTTAAAAACTTGGGCTACCGAAAATCGCCATCAGTTTATCGCATATAGTTTCTCTTATTCAGTTTGTTTAAATCGAGTAAAATATGACCCATGGCGAGTATTTAAAATGCTGACAACTTGCTGATTCACAAGTTTCTACTAAACATGAGACATATTTCAATAAAAGAGATAACTGCTAATGAGTTGTGTCTTTGGTTCTCAAAATGTATTCCTGAAACCTTTCCCACTGGAATTCGTGCATTTAACGAAGGAGACGAAGGAAATATATAGCGGATCGGCTCGCGCTTCAGGTCAAAGAGAACTGTGTCACACGATCTAATGTCGATTAAATCTTTTATTTGAAGATCCAATACAAAGAAAATATCACGCAATAAACTGCGATTAAAATTCTGTACATTATTTAAACATTGTTCAGAATAAGGCTATTAATATTGAAAAAAACTCGCCTTTATTTTATCATTATTTTGTTCCTTTACTTTTCTGGTGGGACATAGGGCTCCAAGCTAAATGCTTGAAGTTTTGGTAGCAGTGGTGCCCTTTATTTATATAGGATGGTGTAGCTAACCTCATACCCAACCACCCCTCTTCACCGGTCTGACTACCAGCTTAGCTAGACAAAGGAGTGCGTCGGCCGTGGATCGAACCTTTGACCACGTGTGGCTTGGTTGGCGAGCATTCTTCCACTGTACCATCTGTGCACACCAACTATAACCTGGCTTCCTATTTATTTTCTCTCTCTTGTCACATTTCTCCATTTCTAGTGAATAATCGCATTCCTACTACTAATTGAAGAATTCAACTTTCTTATTCAATGCCTATAAGGCTGACTGTGAATTATTTTTTTTCTATATGAAATCTATGATCCCTGCACATAAACAGATATATGCACTCTCACACATATACACAGAGATACTTGTCAGTGACTTCTCCCAGCTTTTTTCGGGTTGGTTGTTTGTTTGCATCCAGGGAAAGCAAAACATTTTTTTATTGATTACAGTTTTTGTGGCTTTTAATACTACTACTACTATTATTCTAGTAGGTAATATATACAGGCTTGGATATTTATACTAAGTGAAATAATAATCAATACGTTAAGAAAATTGATTCAAGGAACTTTCCGTGCTCGTAAGCTACAGTTTAGATGTTAGACGACCACATGGGATTCTTCAAATAAAATACTAAATTCAAGTATTGGTTCGTAAGGATTTGATTGACAGGTTACAGGATTTCATCATGAGCTGACACCGGTTACAGATCCGTTGGAAAACCAGCTGGGAGTACTGCCAGACAGTCGTTTCGCCCTAGTTTGGGACTCTTCAGCAGTACACACCCATCGGAGTTTGAACCAAGGACCTTCTGGTTACAAGGCGAGCTCGTAGACCATTGAGCCACTGAGACCCTATCCAATGGTCAACTCATGAACTCCAACTTCTGCCAATTCACGAAATAGCGTGACCGCTAGTCGGAAGACAAAATATCAAGCAGCCAACCAGATGTATAGACTGATACTCTAAGAACTCAGTTTTTCGTGCTGAGGGACACCTAGCACTATGGCTAAATAAAGTTGTAATAAACGAAATCAATAATTTGATATCTGACTTCCTTGTTTAAACAGGATTTAAGTTGTTTATGAAAAAGCTCTTTCTACCATCTATTGCATATCAAATAAGTCGCTAAATAAGCCTCTAGATGTCGAGTAACTCAGACAGTAGAAGCCACTTAAATTTGTTGAAAGCACCCAGAATTCTACATGCTAAAGAAACAGATCCAGTCAATATTGCTACCCTGGTATGCTGTGGCATCTATTAGTTCAAAAATTCTTTATTATTTTGCCTAATTTATCAAATATTCTGTTTAATATTGAATTTTGTTTACATACAATCACTGAAAGATGCTTTACAATACCAATCTATCCATATTACTGATTCAGTGTTAAGTGCAAAAGTCCATTTATGCTGTTAAGAAGGATAGTTCTTCACTTATTGGGAACCTTTTAACGGTTGAATTAGGTGAAAAAGAAGTTATTGAAAAGAATATCCTATGTTCACTAAATTCAGCCTCTTCAAATGCTTATTGAGCACTTTTAATCAATTACTCAGTTTACCACATATTTTACCTAAGATTACTAGAGGGTTTATTTTTCCAAAGGTCGGATTTTGTCTGAAATAGTTTGTAGGGATTTGGATTATTTCAAACTAAACCTTGAAAATTTATCTGACGCTCGTTTAGAAAACTGGCTCTAGGACGAAGTTACCTGGAGTCCTAGTGAGGAGTGGTGACCAGTGGGACCCATCAATAGGTTAGTACTGAGGACAAATACTTGCCACCGATGATATTAATTGATTATCGCGCTAAAATATCAAGAACTGGTAGACGTTAGAATTCATGGTCTGGTCACTAAATCGGGTTCCAGTGACTGATTGCTTTAAGAGCATGACTGGGTTCGAACCCTGGCGAGAGGCTGGGTAATGATGAGGAACTCCAAACGAGGTCGAAACGGCTCTCCAGTATTCTGTAGTGGTTTCCCAATGATTCCCTGACCGATGTCATCTCATGATGAAATTCAGACTGCTATTTCACCTGAAAATCCTGGATTAAGAGAAAATATGATGTTAACAATCACAGAGCTGTGATTATTATTATTATTTTTCGATCTGTCTTTCTGTTTATTCTTTCTGTCGCCACGTTTCACAGTTCAAAGGGAGCGACTGCATTAATAATAATAATGAATTCAGATTCCCCGTTTTTACACATACCACAAGACTTCCGATAAGACTGACAATAAAATGATTTTCTTCATTGTGTGAAACCCTGTATGATCCCTGCATACAAACAAGCAGATGCATGCGCACACCCACAGGTACACGCGCACACCGACACTTGTCAATGATTTCCTTTTGCTTGTTTTGGTTGTTTGTTTTTTAAATCGTAAACATTTTCGATTCAGCGTTTTGTTTGCATCCAGGGGAAACAAACACATTTTTATTTGATTACACTTTATGTTATGTAATTAGGTTATATATATATATCCAGGGTTAGGTATTATATTCATGCACATAGCACAGCTGAAGGCACTAAATATTTTAGGAAGGAGAAATTAGGTAAGCGAAAGAAAAGCAATCAAATGATAAAATCATATGACAAACATGGAGAAAGAGAAGAAACTATCATTTAACAAACACCTACTACTGATACTACTACTCCTATTAGTATTACTGCATTTTGATTCAT